TAAAAACTGAATAATCAAATTCATGTCCTTGTAGGGAACATTTTTTTTATTTGTCAAGATATTCACAAAATTTGGCATAGGTTTTTGCTGAAAGCAGCGGCACAATCTCTGCAGACGTTTTGACCACTATAAATAGCAGCCATACAATCTGACCACTCAAAATCAAGCTCTTGTATAAAAAACTTGCTTGTTTGGCAAGATATATTCACAAATCTATGTAAATATCTCTGAGTAATATGATTTTTTAAAATTACAAATATTTATCTATATTCAACGAAATAAAATAAATCGAAGTTAAAATAGTTAGAAAATTGTATATTCGAAGGTATAAGATAAATGATAAATAGATAAAGAATTGGTTTTATACGAAGTCCATGCATGACGAAATTATCTCCGAATACGTCTGTATCCTATTTTGGTATCCTTTTTCCAGTCCACCACAAAACAGCGGTAGACCACCAACTATGGAAGCTGATCACTAAACATATTACGTATTACAAGAGAAAATTCGAAAATCAGTAGCAGCAACATTTCATTCGCAGAAGTATCAATTTCAGCATATTTCTTTAGAAATTGTTATTGTACAAACACGATAATATTTTCTCGAGGTGAACTCAAGTGGACTTCCCGCTGTGGCGCATGTCAAATCATTTGTTTATACGAGTATACAAACACATTTACATTACACATTACCTGCGGTTGTGTTGATCTTGATACCCTGTGATGGTGTCAATGTGGATCTCCAGACTGATTTGTTGACTGTAATTATCATGGCGACAACTGTTTGCTTAAAATTAGTTTGGGTTTCAAGTGTTTAAATAAAGTGTAAAATTACTACGTGACTTCCGTAGTATGACGTTTTCGTCCTTTTTACGATGTAAGGAATTAGTGAAGTAATTCGTTGCACAATTTTATTCAATATTTTTTGAAAACAAAATAATTATTTTACTACGAAAATATACGTTACTACTGTACTATATTATTGTAATTATTTTTTTAGGATTAAATTCGGACTACTCATTGGTTTCTTTTATAACAAACCCATATTGTTTTTAGATTTTAGGGCACTACTGCGACTAAACTCATAAGACTTATGAGACAATATTATTAAACGATGAGTTCCCTCAAAGAAATCTAGAAATACTTACTTCCAGTGACAGGGAGGAGAGAGAGTAAGAGAGGGAGAGAGAGAGAGAGTTCTTGTTCCTACAATATTTTCTTCTTCAAAATATTGTTGATCTGTGTTTTAAATATGTGGATAAATCCCTGTTCACTCTATCTGATTAGAACATTTGGTATCTGTTATTAAATTTCTTTACTCAAAGAGTGGAGAAAATACTTTGAAATTAGAGCTAGACTACGATGGCTTCGACGTTCAATTATTTTGGATAAGATTTTAAACTAAAAATTCACGGCGTGAGACGCGCAGTCCCATTTTGGTAAGAAAATTTGACGTGATCAGATCAATGAATTTTTTAATAAACGGGAATACTGCTATCAATAAATAAAGAGTGTGCGATATTGGAACTTGGTTGTTCAGTCATATTATATTATAATACTATAATTTCGAAGTATAGATGCTTTGAAGCAAGTCAGCTTGAAGTCCGTCGAGTATAATTGAAGTTCGTCCCAACGAACTAAAATTATACTCTTTCCCTTATCATGTCCATCTCAAAATGTGTTAAGAAAAAGTTGATGATCTCAAAATTCTCAATTCTCGTGAAAATTCCGAAGAAAATGTTTATAACAGCATTCGAATTACATTAAATTTAATTAAAAAGAAAGTTGGAGTCGTCATAAATTACAATTAAATTACTATATTAAATACGTTTTATTTTTCCGAGAAATAGTATTAAATATACTCATATTATATTCCATAAAATCTGCTGCATTTCTGCATTTACAGAACCGTAGCTAAGTTCAAGCTACCGTTTAGTGGTCGTTGACAGTTGTCAATTATGTTTACAACTATTGCCATGCGCGCGCAAAGAGAAACAAGTTGAAGGAAATCACGAAGTAAATATGAAAAGGGAAGACGTTAAAACACAACAAAATGCTAAACCTAAGGGAGAGTTATATGTATCATCAAAAGGTTAGAAAAACAAATAAATATGTAGGTAACTAAATATGTTGACATTCGTATAAACAAAACACGTAGTATTATCTGGTAACGGAGGAAACTGAGAGAGAAAATGGGCAGGAAAAATTGAGAGAGTAAGTGAGAGGAGAAGAGGGTGACTGTACATAAATGGATTTAAAATAACGGTATATGTTACATATGACGGAAATTTTAATAAAAATTTGCAAAAGAAAAATTTTCGTTTCAAGGGGTGTTTTTGTATGTATATTTTTTGTTAAAAAAATATTAAAATTTTTTTTTTTTTTTTTAATTTAATTTTTAACGAAATCAGAAAACTCACAGCCACTTCTTTTTAATCAAGGGCGTCTATAGTTACATATGTATAGCGACGCCTTGAATTTCAAGGACAAAAGGGGGTAGCGTTTTCGTCATACGCCCGAGGTGGCTCCATACCGAAACGACTATCGTATGCAACTTGCATACAATAAATAAATGCGTGCCACATTTCAAGTGTACGTGCCTCCAACAAACTGTTGCGGCTTGTTTTGGGCGCTTTGTTATTTAAGAAGCTTCGCTATTTATCAACGACGTCGTGTCGTTGCGTACTCGGGAAACGAAAACACGCACGTCGTCTACCAAAATATAGATATTGTTGTAGGGTTTCGGCTGTAGCACCATTCCAGCTATAAACCTGCCACATATTTATCGATTGCAAGCACTCCAGATACCGAATTATGCGCGCTTCGTGCTTACACAAGCACACACAGCCACACTTATAGAATACACAAACGAACGCCCTATGCCAACTAACTAATCATTATATACATATATAAATACAGTTGTAGGCGCTCGGCCATATGGCGGAATGCGAGCCAACTCCTTTTGATGTAGACACACACGAAACACGAAGCTTTCTCCGATACCAGGCAACAGACTAAAAGTGTCCTTTGCTCGCAACGGTTGCACTCGAAACGCGTACGGTACTTGTAAACGTGGCTAAAAATCTTGTAAAACTACATATACATAAAAAATATTGAATTTTTGCAAATTATAAAGTGAAATTTTGAAAATCGTAGCAAATTTTCAACAGTAAATTTTTCGTGTTACATGCAAAATCTGCAGCGGAGAAGAATTTTGTGTTTGCTTGTTTCATTTGGCAAGGCTTGATTTGCTGCTTATTTAAATTGAAATTTTCTGTTTTACACAAGCACACATAAAAGTAGTGGTGAAATCTCCTGTAGGTAGTAAAGTCAGCAGTAAAAATATTAAATTCAATAATAAAATCAAGGGTATACACTTCAGCAAAAACTACGCAATAGCTAACCGTGTAAAGGCTGCTCAGCACCTACACATATACACAAATAGATAAAACTGTAGCGCGTCTGCAATTCAAGGATACAGCTTTGCTGGGCGCTGCTTTCAATTCACATTCTTCTTACACAGCGGCTAAAGCGTAAAAGTAATGCAATTTTTTCCATAATATTTTCTAAAAAATTCCTAAAAACCATTTTCGCCATTTTTTTAGCACTTTTCCTTCCTTTTATTCGAAATCTTACATGCACACAGAGTTGTAAATACCTACCACGCATACATACACAATTTTTGTATAACTGTTTGCTTCCCTCTCAACTCACACGAATAGTTTTTGCTTGCCTCTGACAGCTGTGAAGTAATTTTTTTAATTTTTGAAAACTTTCTTACAGACATTTTGTATAAAATCGTTTTAGTCTCGAATTAATTTTTATCACTTAACATTTTGTTATATACATGCTTAAAGGTTTTTTGATACTTTTACCTAAAATTATTAAAACTCAAATTTTATCCTTATATTATTACATATATATGTATGTAAACGTAAGTGAAAATCTCAGTAAAATTCTTAGTTATTTTCAAACTTTTAAAATAAAATAGATTTGTTTTTTTTAAATTGTATTCTCTACATTAACTTTAAATATTAATTATTTGATCCATATATTATATTAGTATTATTATAGATTCTAAGAAAAAATATTTTCTGCACTTTCACAAATTTTATATAAATAATTTTATATAAAGTAAAGCAAATATATTATTTACGTATTTTATTATAATTCTAATGAGAAATTACGCTGTTATAGTAAATAACTTTTAAAATTTATGAAATATTCTTATATAAATATAAATAAATAAGGAGATTTAATAAAATGAAAACCAGAAAAAAATAATAAAGTAAGAATTTAAAAGAAATCAAAAAATAAAAAAAATTCTTTAAAAACAATATTGATTTAATAATTATATAATTAAATAAAAATCATTATATAAAAATTTAAGTCACATAATTATTCATCTAAAAAAATAAAAAATCTCTTTAAAAAACTTTTTTTTTTAATTAAAAAAATTATGAATTCGTAAAAAAGATTTGAAATTAAAAAAAAAACTTTATAATCAAACAAATAAAAAACTAATTAAGAATTTATAACATATCAAACAATAAAATCTGAAAAAAATTCTTTAAAAACAATTTTGATTTTATAATTATTAAATAAAATCATTATATTAAAAATTAGTTAATATAAATCTAAAATAAATAAAAAATTTAAAAAATAATAAGTATCAAAAAAAAAAAATTAATTAAAATAATATTTCCATTAAGTAAAAAAAAATTTCAATAAAATGAAATTCCTAAAGAAATATCGAAACTCTAAAGTAGTAAAAATATCGAAAAAGTAAACAAAAAAAAAATTATTTTATTAAAAAGATAGATTGAATATTAAAAGAAACATTAAGAATTCCTCAAAATGATTGAAAAAAAAAAATTGAGAAGTTTTATAATTTAATTTAATACCACAAAAAATTCAATATTAATAAAAACTAAGTAAGGAAGAGCTTATTTCGCGTGTAACAGAACATTTTATACTCTCGCAAGTTAAAATGAAAAATGAGATTTTCGTATAGGTATATGTACATACGTATTTTAATTAAAAGTAGAAAATATTGTATTCATTATTTAAAATCACAGTCAAGAAAATACGCTGTTGTTAGAAAGATATTGTTTTTGAATTTCATTAACTTGTAGTTTCTTACAAATTGACCCCTAGAAGTCAACTGGGTGTTCGAAAAAATTTACGTATATTTTATATTATGTATATGAGGGCTAATCGTGATATTGATCCCATTTTCACATTGCCATCACAAAAATATTCTCCCTGAATTTCAATATTAGAATTCTCAGATTGATTGTTCGCTAAAAAATCAGCTAAATGCACTGGGGTCCAGATATTTGGCGTCTGAGTCCTTGAAAAGTTATAGTTCGTTTTCCACAATTTTTGGTCATAAGATTAAATAACTTTAAGGCACTAGTTGTGCAGTTGTTTTTTAAGAGAAGTGGGCGTGGTTGTTGTCCAATTTCGACAATTTTCATAGTGTATGATAGAAATGGTTGGATTACTTTACACACCAAATTTTGTTAAAATTGGTTGGTTAGTTTCTGAGATATACGATTTCACCTAAAGGTGGGTGGAGCCACGTCCATTGTCTAATTTTTACACCCAAACTTATAAAGCTCTTCCCCACCATCTTAGTTGTAAGGCTTGTGGCGCATTTATTCAGTGAGTTATCGCACTTATAGTAGTTTTCAACATAACCCTTATATGGATAGGCGTGATTATTATCTGATTTTATCCGTAAGAAGAAGTACTAGAAACACTTCTTCCCATTAAGTTTGGTAGACGTCCGGTGTGTTTAACGTGAGTACCTGCCATCGACGGCCTTATCTCACCGTGCTCAAAAGCACAGCATATTAAAACAATGCGTTGATCAGCGCTCCGAAAATGCCAGGCATTTTTCAGTACCGATTGGTAGTGTGGAATGGAAACACTACACACCTTGGTGAGGTTCGAGGCCTATCTAAAACCTTTGCCGTACTTTGGGTCCGGCACCCGGTTGCAATGTAACTCCACATTCAACTGACAAAACGTCAGTTCTTCCCGAATTTGGGTATAAACCACAACCACCACTATACTCCCCGAAGGTCCAGTCCGCATGAGCAGGTTGGAACGAACTCCAAGGGCCCTTTCTCCCCGTGGTACCAGAATTAAGTCTCCGGTCAAATCTCGTAGCCGAAGCTACTACCAGTTGAGCCTCCATACAGCTCTGGACTGGTAACCAAGGGTTGAACCCCATACGCACATTACTCGCACACACCTTTCACACAAGAAGCTAAACCTAATTCTCAGTTAAACGCCACCGCTGCCTAAACAACTCACCCGCAAACGACCTGTTCGGCATTCCGACTAGTGGAGATCACACCGCTGACATCTAACATCCCGATCGTTAGGACTATTGTCCCAACGGTCTTGCCACCTACTCCTAACCTCTTGCCCCTAGAAATCCCTCCCTCTCCACATCATTTTCGGAAATCGAAGTAAGTTTGGTAGAGTTAACTTCAGTGGTTTGGAAAATATGTACATTAAACCATTTAGAGGGTGGGGTCACGCCAACTACGCTCATCTGCATTAACGACCTCTTTTGGGTGCCAAGGGAAAATATATAACAAGTTCCTCACTTTTAGTCAAGTTATCGCTTGCACGGACAGACTGATGGACAAATAGTCAACCGGATTTCAACGTGATCATTTATATATACAATAATATATATGTGTATATATAACTCTATATCTATCTTTATAAGTTTTATATGATACAAACAATCGTGTGGTGAACAAAACTAGTATACTCTGGCGCAACATGTTGCTAGAGTATAATAATTTAGAAAATCTGTAAAAAATTGTTTGTTTTTAAAAAAAAAGCCTTCAATTACATATCTTGATTTCTTCCACCAAGGTCTAATTACTCCTAAAAATAAATAAGCACAACTGCTATCTAACATATTATTAGCCTAAAGTAACAAATTATTTTCAATATCAAAGTAAATTATAAAAATATTTTTTCAAGTTGTTCTTTTAATTATATATAACATTATTTTTTGCTTTATGTCCTTATGTATATATAAAATTTGTGTGTACACATTTTTGGAATATCGAAAAATACAAAAATACTGTGTATGTATGTATTTTGTAACATAAATATTGTTTAACTTAAATTTTTACACTTACGTACAACAAAAATGTAAGTAAAACGGAAACAGCGAAATAAATTAACTTTTGCTCATACTACTACATTTTAAGATTATGCGTTTAAGTGGATTATACATTTCACGTACATAGGTATGTACCTCAGTGTGTATATGGATGTATATGTTAGCTGTTAAGCAAATAAACTTTTGCTCGCTACAGCGACAAATTGGGTCAATATCTCCCAAATGAGCACCGAAACATAAGTGTAATAGCAAAATACATAAGCATATACATATATACATACACATAAGCGAGTATATATAAATAACATTTTAAGTATCTCTATTGTTATACTATATACTATATAGTAAAAGTGTATATAAGTAACGCATTGTTGTAAAAACATATAAAATTTGCGCATATTTAAATATATATAAGCTATTTATTTATATACATTATCTTAGTTAGTATATGCGTATAAATATACTTATATTTAATATTTATTTTGCAGAGTCCAATGTCTGTTAGGGTGCATTTAAATACTTTATCTATACAAACATTTATTTTTTTACATACAATTAATTTTCGCCGCAAAGTTTTTAGTATTTTCTTTGCCTTCACATTTTGAAATAATAAATATTAAAACTTATAAGCATATAAGCATATAACCCTCTTGCACATTTCAAAGTACTGCAAGTGCCCTCATCCAGTGCAACAGTACCGTAACCACAATATCAACCAAACACTTTAACCCTTACGCTCCGCCAGGACCCCGAAATGGCATGTGATTTTTTTATGCATATTTTTTATAATTTTGCAACTTTCTCTTATTAACTTTTTTTTTAAATTTTTCTCAAATATTTTCATTCCCTTACGAAATTTCTCCCGTTTACCGCCCGCATACGTTTACTCTATGTTTTTTGCAGTTTCTTCCCCTCAAAGTAAATAGAAAATAATTATTATTAAATTGTTTTGCCTGTTTGTATATAATAAATTGTTGATATAAAAAGTGCATAAAATATTTGCAAAATGTTTTCCAAAATGTTTGTGAAATTTAAAACGAAATGATATGAAATTTAAGTTCCAACGGATTTTCGCAGTTCGCTAGAATCCGTTAAAAAATATTGCAATTTACTGGCAACGGAAGTGCAGTAACAACAACATTAGCGTGTAGCTAGCAATTAAATTTCAGAGGTAAGTTAGTAAGCATTAAAGGTATTTAATACAGGGTGTGCCATTTTTACGCATAAAAAAATTGTTAAACCAAAAAGAAATCAAACGGTATTTAAATTTACGAAACTTGAAAAAGTATTTGAAGTATTTTTTGAATATAGTGGAGCTGTAATACCCTTTACAGAGGCATTTTTTATAGCGTAAAGGTCATAAAAAGAATTTTAACTTGAGTTGGATCGTCAGTTTGTATGACAGCTATATGCAATAGCTGTCTGATCTGTACAATTTGTTCGAATATTATACCGTTGTCTTGCTAAAAAATCTGTGCCAAATTTTGTCAAGATAGCTCGTCAAACGAAAAAGTTTTCCGTACAAGAGCTTGTTATTGATTATTCAGTTTGTATGTTGGCTATACGCTATTGTGATCCGATATCGGCGGTTTCGACAAATAAGCAGCTTCTTAAGAATAAAGCAACGTATGCAAAATTTCGGATCGATATCTCGAAAACTGAGCGACTAGTTCGTATATTTACCGACAGACAAACGGACACTGATAAATCGACTCAGCGCATCATGCTGATTTATACATCTATACATATTTTTTACAGAATCTTCGACGTTTTCTTCTGGGTATAACAAACTTCGTGACAGCTATACAATTTCTCACTTGGTCTTTCTATCAAAAGAACGTCTAATCTTGCATTGCTGCCATCAACACTTTTACTTGATCATTTAAGTAGCTGTACAGTCTCGAAAACCCTTAAATTTGGTGAACCAATGTTCGTAAAGATTTATAAATTCTCCACTAAATCTCTGTGTCGCGAAACAACAGTTACCCATGTTAAATTTTATCATTCATACCTAAATGATCCACAATTATTTAAATTCGTCGTGAGATTTGTTAATTCTGCATTGTTCACTCAGTGTCAGGCTGCACTTATTGTACGAGTAATAAGACCTCGCCTTATGTTGTATTTAAAAACTAGCTGGGTAATGAGTTTGGTTCCCGTATAGATAAAATTGTCTTCGATTATGTTGACTGATGTCAGCGATAACAATTCGCTTCGGTTATGGATATATTGAGATATTATATAAAAAAGGAAGATTTATGCTAATATACGGTTTTTTAAGCACTCAACTACCCTGCTTCTTTTACTACCCCTTTTGGAACTATTTTTATTATTATGTTCCAGTCGGTTTTCGAAACTTTATTCTAACAGCGAAAATCGTTAACTCAGACGTTTGTTATTGCTGTGAGGGCCTTTCCGTTGCCTTCGTAGTTTTTGCGTCCAGTTTCAACCGCGTGCTCAGCGAGTGTGCAACTATTGTTGGATTTGATTCAATTCTAATGTTATATTTATATAGGTTACTCATTTCGATGCATTTATACGTGATATATGTGAAGCTTTCCAATGCAAATAACAAACAGCGCTTGACATTACTGGAATTATCAAAGCCGGAAGTATGAATAGCAATATACAAACAAAGTAATTGTAGACTAGACCGTCTATTTTATTTTATATGTATGTAGTTAGTGTGCTGTTAGAGTATGTATACTCGTATAAGCATATATTCGCCTTGATTTGTTAGCCGTTTTGATTAGTGTTCAACCTTAAACTCAATGTGTTTGCAAGGACCTATATAAATATATATCATGTATATAAGTTGTATATAAGCCTGCGTAATAACAGCAGCATCTCGGCTCAAGGTCCTTGAACACGTGTATATGTATGTTATATGTACGTTGGAACTGTCTGCTGACGTAATGCAATTTATTTTGCTTTTCTTCGTGTATACCTAATGGAGTTGTTGGAGAGCTGTGTAATGATAGTTGCCTTCCCATATTGCATTTGATATTTACTATGGAGTGTAGTGCTTGTAACTATGCTAACCACCTAGTAGCATGATTGCAGTTGTAAAAAGGAACGAATATTGTATATACTCGTACAATATGTAAGTAAATACTACCTCACGTGATGTAGCGTACTTCATGTAATTTACATATGATAATAAAGGTAAAGGTTAGTACATGACTAAAGAATATATTACCATTAATTTTAGTTGACAATGCAATAAAGATGTTTCAATCATTGTAAGCCGGTTTTTTCCAAGTCAATATTACTTTTTTTAATATTGCATGGAGTTTTTTCTTAAATTTTCAATACCAGCTCATTATCTTTCTTTATTTTGTTTACATGTATTTTCTAACATTATATTACACAACTAAAATTGACGCTTGAATGCTTTTCACAGTAACCCCAAATGCCCGAAGCTCTGACACTGCCCGGCATGGCTGATGCGGAGCCAGATTTGTCAACGTTCGAGAATAAGACCGGCTTAGCCGAGGATATGAAATTTCTGGCATCGATGCCAGAGTTGTGCGATGTGACATTTTTAGTTGGAGATACGCGTGAACCAGTATGCGCGGTTAAGGTGAGTGATATGCTTGATATAACTCCTTGAAGAGTCGCGAGAGAAAAATAGTTATAAGTACAGGTAGAGCTTCTGATTAGCCAACAAATTTGTTACGCGAAAATACCGACGAGTTATCTACTATAAAACTATTGTTCTCACTACTACAGATCTATACAGCTAAAGGAATATTACAAGAGACAAAGAGAGAGAGTTAGGCAAATGATTGAGACAGATATAGTACACAGAATTTCGCATGCTATTTAAAATGAAATATACCTAAATCATTGTTTTAATCCACCATTGAGTACATAAAAGCCCGTTTCTGCTACAGAAGCCGGCGCTACTTCACTCATCATATAATATTTATCGGAATCGCTGAAGCTTTTGAGAGCTCGAAAGATTTACTCTCATGTTGATTTATTTAAATTGGCATTCCTATTAAGATATATGAGAAAGTAAGGTTTTGTAGAAGCATAGCAAAGTTGGAGAAGATCTAGCCTAGCACAATTAGTCAAAGTTTCAGACAGGCTAACACTCAGTTTTGATATTTTCTTATTAAACTGTTGGGGGAAAATAGTTCGAGCAGCAGAACCCAACCAACTAGCTAAAACCTGAATTGAGACCATAAATAACAGCAGCTCAAAGAATCAGAAATATGGTATTTCTAAACGTTCTAACGACGGTCGAGTCTAAGTAAACAAAAATGACCGTGATATATATTCGAATAAGGAATCCCAACAATGCATTATTTAACAAAACTCTTGGAATAATATTTTTTTCCGTAAGTTTATGTTTCCACGACTCATATACGAGTCTATGTACCAGAGTGGTACACTAAACAATTATTTTTCTTTGCTGATGTTAGATATATCGATTTGGACAGTTGGGGATTCTTTTGGTCTGTGTGACACTTGTAACCGACTTTATGAATTTAAGAAGAAGAAGGCTTTGTTTATACTTATCATGAAAGTTTGACAGATCGTTTCTTTAGCGGATTCAGCAATTTTGACATCGAAATTTCAAAAATGTGACAATATAAATTAGGTAAAAATATGAAGCCTTAAGTTTATTCGCTGCTGAATTTTTTATAGAGAAACATTTTTTTTGGATTTTCAAAGAAATTTAAAAAAAATTTTTTTTTTTGAGCATTGCTTTAAATATAATTGCAGTAAACTCTTTTAATGCTCTATTATACTCACCTTTTCGCTCTCCCTCCACAGGCTGTTTTGGCATCACGTTCGCGTGTCTTCGCAAAAATGCTGTACTCGGCGCCATCGCCGCAACGTAAACGTGAAGCATCGACCAAAGAGAATAAATTGCGGCTTTTCCTTAAGCGCTCATCGGAGCCACTGTTGAATCTACAAAATGCGGCACAACAGGTTGGTCTTGGGGGTGGTTGTTATGCTCTGAAAAACAACAGTGAAATATGATATAAGTGCGTATGTACATAAATGAGTTATTTTTTTTTTTTATTCAACGGAAGTGCATATGTATGTATGTATATACGAATTTGTATATACTCTTTTTATGTATATGTGCATACAGGTATACATGTACATATCTATGTGTGTATTGTATATATGTTGAAGTGGTTTGAGCGTCTGCGTTATGCTTGTGCGTGCATAGTACTGTTATGTGTAACAGCTCGTATGCAGATGTATTTCCACCGCAGAATTTGTGAATCAATTTATAATCCCAATACGTTTTGCTGCCACAGTCCTAAATTCGTAAAATTTCCCTCACCTTGGTATGAAAGTTTTGCCCTTCTGTTTTTCTAAATAATGCATTTTTTTAATGTGTGTGTTTTTGTCTAAGAATGAGTAAACACGCTTCAATTTTACGAAAATAAATTGTATATGGATTAAAAAACAGTTTCACATAATTAAAGCAAAAAACTTCTAGGTAATCACAGCAATTTTCGTATAGGTATGCCTGGTAATTTGGGATCACTCCTATACTTCCTAAAGTGGGCTTACCGCTTCTAAGCACCGTTATAATTACTAATATATTAGCTGTTTTCTATCTTAGGGTTATATTCGAATTAAGTATACGCTATATTCCAAGAAAAAGACCGCTAAAAATTAGTCTGCTTTTTGAAAAATCTGTTGATAAATATTACCTTCCTTTTCGCTCTTCACTTTTCAATGTTTGCTATTGTAATTTCTAAGTGACGATACTGGAATAAAACAGAAGATAGGTTTTATATGATAAAAGGTCTTGCCAGTCTTCAATTTCTTCATTTAGCATCCGCCATTGGAATTTCTGGTGAGTCATTATAATCTGTGTGCATTGCAGCTGTCCTGATGACACACAATTCTTCTTCTTTGGTCACAACTGACCGCTTTTTGACGATTGATTTCTTTAGACGGCTGAATTGTTGAATAAGCAATGAAAACAGTGCCTTAATGACTGCAAAATATGGTGCATTCTTAATTTCCTGGTAGCGATCGCTGACAAGTACTCAAGCACAACTGAGTCAAGCAATCACAATACTGTCTGTAAGATTTTTATAGTACGAAATATTTTCTTTCAAACACCATATAGCGTAACCCGATCGCACTTAAACAACAGATTACGAAAGAGGATAGCTTAGAGCCGAATTTCGAATAATATTATGTTATATATATGTATGTATAAGTAATATTGCATTTAGCTCTGCTTATAATTTATGAAATCTATAGACACCTTTAGATCATCCTTGCCAATGTTTATTTACCTCTCAATACTTCCATTGCTTGAAACAGTTCTGAAGTTTAAGCTCCCACTTCTACGTACTATGTTATCCATTTGTTTAAGCTTTACCTTAATTTCTATAAAAATTCACTGCTGTAAAATCGTGCAATTATAACTGATTGAAGTCTGTTTAAAATTTTATCGATTGTAAGCTTGCGAAGTGATGTTTTGTTTTTGTGACAAACTCCGTTTCATCCCTTGCAAAAATATTTGCCGTCTACGTAACCGATAGTTTTTGAATTATAAAATTAATAAATTAGCTTTGGTTCTCGATAAGACGGTTTAAGAAGTTTAACGGCAATTGCTTCATGTAGACGATTTCCTGCATTTAAAATCTATGTGTATATAAAGAATTGTGTCGTTCAAATAATTAATGTGGCCCTGATTAACGTCTCAATCACCACCAAGAAAATATAAGTTGTACAAAAAAATTAGAGGTGTTTTGCGTGTGATGTTCCTAAAAATGATGTTTCAAGCAACTAACCTCAGTACAAACCATCTACTTGTACCGATTTATGCTGGTTAGGGGTGCAACTTTGACGACTCGCTAGTCTAAACTTCATATTACAATATATAAAAAAGTAAAGTCCAAAAATTTTAAATAAATAAGTATTTTAATCATTTACATATACCCTGTACAAGTTTTTATATAACCTTATGTATATGTGTTGAAATCATTCCCTATATTGTCCTTGTGTTCACCACTTGCTGTAGCCCACAAATTATAAACCAAAAATAAATCAAACCCTTTTTAGTAAATGAAATATGTAAAGAAAAATATTTTAGTATTCATAAATAATGTAATATAATATAATATTCGCCCATAGTACACACACATAATCGTTCATTCTTATACAAATATATGCATAGTGTGAACATGCCATTATATACTTATACTTATAAATATATTCAATACAAAAATACTTGTACAATCACATGTATTTTTAATGTAAAATCTGTATTTTTTGTTTGAATTTATTCTTTATTTATTAGAGAAGTGGTTTTACCCAACAATTAGCACCGATACCCGAGGTAAAAATAGAAAAGTAAATTAAAGTATTAAAATTTATTTAAAATTAAATATCTCTTGCATAAAAATTAAACAAAAATCTGTACCTAAAGTGTCTTATTTGCATTCCAAATTGTTGTTTATATGCATATTTAATTTTATTTTTTTAAGTTTGCAAATATGTTATAGTATTTACACTTCAAGATTGCGCTGATTGATTGCAAATTTTGAATTATTTTCGCATGTTATTGAAGCTGCAACTAAATATTTTTTTGTTTAAAATGTTATTATGGAAAACTGATATTTTAAAATATCTAAATATATTGTAACGGCCATTATTGCTGTCTGTTTTGCCTGAATACTTGTATGCTAAACATTATTGCTGTCAGTGTTCTGACAAGCGCTTAATAGCTGAATTCTTATTATTACTGTCAATATTTTGGCAACAGAATACTATTGTGTTTGTCATTATAGCTGTCAACATTTTGACATCCAAATACCAGCATCAACCGCATACTAGCTTAATTGTCATTAAGCTGTCAGAATTTTGACGTAAGCAATCAGCTGTCAAATTTCTTATATAGCAGTTTGTGGTTGTCTTAATCAGCGCAATCTCTGTAGTTTCTACATGGCGACTTATTTAAAATTTTTGTGTTGTGTCTTTAGTACATTGGCTTTTTAATGATTGTGCATTTGGATTTAGTAAAAATAATGTCACATCATTGTCAACATGCAACTCTGTGTTCAAATATTGTTATAAATTTAAATTTTTGTTCGATTTTCTATATTCGTTTTTGCATTTTTCTGCTATATTTTATTAAGAATTGGTTGTGGCTTTATAAAATTAATAGCGTACCATTATGTACAGTGTAGGAATTATCAAATTTATTCAAAAGTGTGCGTCGAACTTTTTTCTTTCCGAGAAATCCACGTTCAACCCCATTTTATGTGACGAAAAAGTTAGCGACCAGATAAAACTGAATAAAAAATTCAAATAGCATAAACATTTGAGTTAAAATAAAATATTGTTTGTAATTGCAATATTATATTTTTGAGCCCGAAAACTATATTGGTAGGCTTCGATATAACTCTTCTCAGCTAAATATTTTGAGTGAAGTGGTGTATATTTCTAAAATTATTGACAGGCTTTCTTTCACTAGAAATTCCGTTACTTTGATCATTGGTTCGGCTCTAACTTGTTTCAAAATATGATCCGGAACTTACAGAAAGTCCGCGAAAGACAATTTTGAAACAATCGTCATTTAAATTTTAACCAAAGAAAGATAATAAAATTCTTCACAGGGACCAAAAAATTAATGAACATTTTCGACTTGAGTTTATATTTTGATTACATATACTTTACAAAAACATATGTATACTCTTACCTACATCACAATTGCTTTGCATGACTCCTACTCATTACTCATTCTTCATATTTCAGTTATTGTGTTTGTTGTTGTAAATATTTACTAGCTAAATTTTTGTACATAAAAATACTTAAAACTATAAATTATATTATTAAATTATATGGCTTAAGAGCGATTAACTGAAGCATCATTTTCGAAAAAATAGTGAAATAAAATAATTATGCGACGAGTTTTACTAAAAGTGAGAATGAAAGTGCATGTTATTTCTATAATTTCTTATTTTGCTATAATATATTTTGGATCAATATTCTGCATTGCATTTAATCTTTGTAAAAAGTTGGTCACAATAAATCAGAGTTTTTAATTACTCGATGTAATACACGAGTGAAAAGCAAAAAAGTTACAAGGTTGCCGCCCAAGGTTTATATTTGGCAGGCTTGCTTTCTTTTTAAAACTTTTCTATTATAATAAAAGTAAATAAATATTATAGAAATATTTTCAATTCTAGTATCAGCTTAAGGGGTTAGGGGTAGTCAAAGGCACGAAAAAATTAAAATTTTCAGTAATTTTTTTTGCTATTAAGTCATGTTATTTTACAAAAGTAGTAATATGGTATTATTAAACAATGTTTTGACTTGAAGTCACGAAAATCTCAAAAAATAAAAACTTTAATTTCATCATCATTCAATCATAAGTCCTTGGAGACTCATCTAAAATCAATCGGATGAATAAAAATAGTTTTATGAATAGATCGATAGATAGGACTGATCGAAGCTGTTTTTGTTTTTTCAAAAATTAACAAAATGGCGGCCTCAGGAAACGTTTTTCTAAATTTTTGGGAAAATATCAACAGTTAATTGGTCTTAAAAAATCGAAATTTTTGATTTATATATTTATTTATTATGTATTCTAAAAGCTGTTACAGTTACAGTTCTCCCAGTTCGAAAAACATAGTTTTGAGAAAAACTCATTTAAAGTTTCTTGCAGCTGCCGCTAGCTACCTGCTTCCGAGCAGTTTGAAGTGACCGAGCGCTCTTTGTTATTAGTCGAATAATTCAAAAAGTAATTATCGGATCGACTTGAAATTTTCAGAGAATGTTTTCAAGTTATTACACTTAACGAAAATTAAAAAAAAAGCAAATTTATTTTTGGAAAATTCTGACTACTCCAACCCCTTAAGAGATTTTGGATTTTGGTTTCGAACTTAGCTTATAGTTGTTATCAAAAGCGTGGTTATTGTTTTATGTTACTAAGTGTTATATATTCAAATCGAGTGCGGAAACGCTGTCCACGGCAGACAGTATGGACCTAATATACATACATAATTACTTCATTGGATATAAACATTGATCTTAAGCAATTCCAAAAATACCAAATGGTTTCATATTCTAAAGGAGAATGAGCTCTAGATAGGATTCTAAATCCAAGAATGCTATTGCTTTGAGAGCATGAAAACAAACATGTTAGCTATTTTCTTTTAATAATTTTTCTAATTTTTATTAATTATATTATTAAATTATATATACACATTCCTATCTACACGCAGGTTTTGTGTCTATATAATATAAATAACACATTATCTAATTTAAGGCTTTAAAATTAACATACTATATGTCTAACTGTGTCTATAGTTATACAATATCTATCGCCTTCATGCTATATATACTACAATACCTATCTATTTAGCTCTTCAGCTATGAATCTATATGAAGTTCAGTCTTATTTAATTTAAATTTCTACCTTCACGTATTTTAGCCGGCTGGACAGCAACATCAGACCTTGATTATTGAGGAGTTCGAACCGGATGTTTTCAGGCAACTGATAGAGTACATACACACCGGTTGTGTGACGTTGCAGCCGAGAACACTTTTAGGTATGTAAGAGTAAAGCAGAAACATGAGAGTGTATATATATTGTATATTTATAATAAAATGAAGAGATACTTCTTGCTAAAGGAAATTGTATAAGTTAAGAAATCAGTTGGTTATACGCCTTGATTTCCACCGCTGAGAAATAAATAGCGGTTTCTAATGGTTGGTTGCTACGGGTATTGGCCGAACATACTTTTGTGAGAATAAGCAAGTTTTTAGTTACTATTCGAGATATATACATATAACCAAGACGTAAATTTCATTCTTAACTCATTAAGGACAGATAAGAGACATTCGTTTAGATAACAACTTTATAAAGCGTAAACTATACGCACTTTGATTCTCTAACTCAGAAATCTTACGTCTCAGGAAATAGTATGGCTTCAAGTAGCCAGATATAAGTAAAATCCCAACGCATTAATTTCAATAAAAATTAATTTCTTATTCTGCCTTCAGGCGTCATGAACGCGGCAGATTATTATGGCTTGGAGGAATTGCGGCGCGCTTGTGCTGGCTTTGTGCAGTGTTGCATCAATGTGGACACTGTCTGTGCGTTGCTTGCGTCTGCCGAACGTTACATCCAATACAAGTGTACCAAGAGTCTCGTACAAAAAGTGCTGGAGTTTGTGGACGAGCATGGTAATGAGGTACTTAATTTGGGCAGCTTTACGTTGCTGCCACAGCATGTGGTACGTCTAATATTGGCGCGTGAGGAGTTGCGCGCCGACGAGTTTACTAAGTTTCAAGCGGCACTGATGTGGAGTAAGAAGTATTTCGACAACAATCCGGTAAGATAAGTGTAAGGCATTTGTGTGAGCTGAAGTATTTAATTAATACATCTGTTTTGTGGTTACAGAATATTGATATGAAGGAGATTTTAGGCAACTTTCTGGAGTACATTCAGTTCCACAAAATTCCGGCGAATGTACTGATGCGTGAGATACATCCACTGGGTTTGGTGCCATACTCGATCATTATGAACGCTTTGGCCTATCAGGTAAGCGCGTGCTTAAGCTTTACACTTTGCTTTTGGCCTTTCGTACATGTAGTAAAAATATATTACTTTGAAATATAATAAAAAATTTATTTATTAACTAAATAATAAAATGTGTTAAACGGCATTGGTGCACTTCCGGAACGTCCAATTTCGGTGCATGTGTGCTGCTGTCGTTCCACCACCCCTTTTGTCCCCCCTTTATGTCTGATTCTAACCTTTGCAGGCAGACCCAGAAAGCATCGACCCCGGAAAGCTGTCTCCCAACTCTAGTCGAGTGAGGCGTGCGCGTCAAAATCAAGGCAGATCGATGTCCGTACAGAGTTCCTTGGACCCCTACGGTTCGAATACAACATTGAGTTCAAGCGGCAGCAGCGACCCCACCAGCGGCCCGCACAATAGCAACTAACATAAGTTGAACGGCCCCTCCTCCTCTTCCACCCACCATTCATCCTCGCATGGCCGTCATAAGCACCATCAATCATTACCAAAAATTCGCAAAGCCAAATCACAGAGTTTCCGCACCCGACGCAGTCCATCTGAGCGCCGTAGCCCAAATGCCGCACCAATGTTTGGTCAAGCGGCAAATTTGACATTAAACACCGCCCAATTGGCGGCCAATGATAAGAAACGTAGCCCACTTACACCAAAGAGTCCCATACTACCACAACCTGAATCGAAAAGTCCGGGCAGTACTTCACAGAAAACGCCGACAACATTATCCCGACAGGGCACATTACGTGCTTCACATCGCCGCAAGAACAGTATGACTGGATCATTAGTGCTAGTTCAAGGGCGTCGCAGTCCAGTAGGCTTTAATGACCGCAGTCCGCAAGGACGTCGCAGTCCACTGATTATGTCCAATGATCGCCTCAAGTCACCGAATGAGTTGCCTGTACAGCCTATGTTCGGTTTGGGGCTGCATAGTCCGACCGCGCGTAGTCCTACAGGAGGTGCACGTAGTCCGACGCTAAGCATGCATACACAGGAACGACGATCGCCCATCGGTGCCGCGGCGCCTGTAGAATTTGGCCAGCCACGTCGCAGTCCCACTTCAACTGTGCATGTGCAGGATGCACACTATGAAGAGGGGGAGGCTGATGAGAATGGTTTAGTGCGTTCAAGCAGTGGCATAAAGCGGCCATCAATCAATCTTTTCACACCTATTTATTTCGGTGGCGATAAACGTAGTCCCCTAACAGCTATGCCTATACCACCAATCACTGTATCCAATCCAACGGAAACTGGCAGATTAGCTGAAAAAATTGCAGAATCAAATGCAGCGGCCGAAGCGGCACGCGAACTGGAAAGGCAACGTGAAGAACAAGAGAAACAAGAAGCGGCAGCCGCGGCTAAAGAATCAACACCTGAGAAAAAAGAACGCACAAGTGTTATGAAGGAAATACTTGCCTTTGTACGTAAGCCATCTAAGCATATTTCTACGCGTACTAATCGTTTCGCTCATGCTTTCACACGTGCCGAGTCTGGCTCGTCATCAGGCCCGTTGATTAGACAGAGTACTTTCTCAGCTAGTCCGGCCGCTTCATCAACTGCTGCGAAAAGTGCGGTCGTTAAGCAAATGTCCGAAGTTGCATTCGAACCGAAGATGTCATTGAAATTCGCACACTACGCAAAAATGTCACTAAAATTACGTCGATCTGCCAACGACGAAAAGGCGAAGCAAGCAGCTGCAGCCAGCACATCGAAGCGCGCCAGCGCCGACTCTAATTTCAGTAGTAGCGGCTTGGATCCACATGATGCACAGGTAGGTCGCGCCGGTGGCAGTCTCGGCGGTGGTGCCGGCTCCGGGCGTGCATCACCGCTCGGCGAACTGCCATTCGAGTTGGCGAATGTGCATTTCGAAAAGGTCGGTGAGTCTTATATTAAGCACGAGAAGATACACGAAGAGGAGTTCGTAGACGAAGCCGGCACCACAACCGATACAATTGTCACCAGTTTAGTAGAGGAGATCACAAATTCGCTTAAAGTAGTCTCGTTGTCAAGTGAGAACGCACAAATAACACATCATTTCCAACGTCGCTCCGAAAGTCGTGAGCCTATTGAACCGCGCATAAGCGAAGAACGGGAATCCGATTCGAATGACCTTGTAATTCCGGAGGATTTCCGGACTGAGCTAACCGAAATTTTAAAGTCCTATGCATCAGAACCAATATACGTAAATTTGCAAGTGTTGCGCCGTGAAACTGAAGAAGCTGAGGCTGCAGCAGCCCAAGCATTAGCTAAAGCAACTGAAAATAGTTTAGCGACCGAGAAATCACCATTGCAATGTCCGATTATTGAGTTTGAACCGCCTTCTCGGCGTTCTTCGTTCGATCCACCGCGTTCGCCATTTCTAGAAAATTTGCGTAGTCCCGGCGCTGATACTGATAACGATCTAATCAACTTACAGCGTCTAGATTCTGGTGGTGATAGTTTCGAAATGGTCGAGGGTGATCGTAAATCAAGTCGCGCCGAGTCAAGTTTCGACTGTCCCTATTCGTCACGTGATACCAGCTTTGACATATCCCGTTATCAATCCACAAGTTATGAGGATCAAACTTCTAGCTTTGAAATTGTCGACATGGATGATAAAAAGAAATCGAATATCGATTTGCGTAAGTCCTCAATTGAGCTAGTCGACGCGGAGACATTTCAACGCAGTGGATATTCTTGTGGACGCAAGTCCTCTTTAGAAACACACTTTGATTATACACCCTCCGATGCGAGTGGCATGACACCCGCACGCTCACCCAATTTCCCAGTGAACAAGAAGCAAAAACCAGAAACTTTGCGTGCGCTTCGCATTTCACCCTTTAGTGCCTTCTCACGTGCTCGTAGTCCACTTTCCAATCAGACCTCCTCAAACTACAGTTCACGTGACAGTTACGATTCAAGTTCCTCCTATCCACACTCCGCACCTAGTCACCATGAACCGCAGCGTAGTCCTTTCGCTGATCCGACTAAAAAACATTTTCCGCTCACTATCAAGCAACGCGAAGAGGAAGTTAAGACTTTTCTCTGTACTGATCAGCGTTGCGCCTCAATATTTGAGCCACGCCCTAGTTCGGTGTTGACTCAACAACTCTCAACTGGTTCAATGTCTACACCATCGGGTTATGGCAATGGTACACCCTGCCCGGTGGTGGGTAGTGTAGCGGCCGGATTCTCAAGCGGTAGTGAATTTGAACCACCATCACCACGTCGTGCGGCTAGTGCTTCCCCCAAACATACCTTTACTTTTCGCATAGTCATGAAGAAAGTTGATAGTTCGCCGGAAGCTTTGTGCACCGAGCGACATCGTAGCCGCATATTTGATAGATACCGACGTAGAGATAGTCGACGCAAGAGAATACATGAAGCTGGAAAGAGTTTTTAAACGACTTAATAGGTACGAATATAAGTGCACTGCTTTAATGGGACCATGGATCGATAAGTAGTAGTAGTCATATATAAAATTAGATCTTCGCAGAGGTGCATAAATGTCTGGTAAAGGTATCGCACAAGTAAAAACTATGCTTGGGTTACATTGCCTTAACTTGTACAAAGGATGAATATCAATATACAGGATAGAGGCATAGCGAAATTATATACAATTAAGGACATAAATATTCGAACGAAAACATCTTAACAAATCGATAAAGCAGGATATTAAAAAATTAGCAATAAATAGGAGTTGAATGATGCCAGAAATGTAGGGCAAATATAAATACTTACACTGCAGTTAACATTCTTAGAATAGTGTATAAAATGTTACTTGGTAGGTAAAGAACCATGACCACGGACCATGTATATAATTAAAAAAATGCAAGAGATAGACTTTTGACAACAAGAAGACAAAAAGAAAGGAAGACAATGAACCGGATGTGCAAATTTCAGGCAGAGATAATTGCTTTCATGACAGTAAACTCTAAATTGCCAAAGCCGAAAAGAAATATTAAAATTTCTGATGCTTGCCGAGTTTATGCGAAGACCTCAAACATAACAAAAGGAGCAACTAAAATTTTAACTTTTCTCACGTATGAATTTAAGAAAAAATGGAGCATAGAAATGAGAAAATTTAATAGTTAAATTTGTGGAAACTTCGATATGCGGAGGTCAGCAATAAAATAGGCAATTAGTTACAGACAAAGCGCATAAAAAAGGGACGCTATATAAGACAAATCGTGAAAACTTCAGCTTTGTATGAAAAGAGCGAGTTATACATATATAAATCATGAAAGAGCTGTTAAGAATAGCAGCCGAAGTTTTCACAAGTACGGATAGTGTCTTTGAATCACTACTTAGCTATGTGTGTTAGCATTTGAAGATGACCAGTATTGCCATACAGCCAGAGTACAGGGACTATTTAGTAAATAGTTAAATACAACGCTGCAACTGAATTCTAAATTTAAAACTCAGCATGAATGTTTGTAGTTTATAAACCAGTAGGAAATTTACTTAGAAACTGTTAACTAGTTGTATGAAATATGAGAGCAAAAACGAGTTATTGGTAATGAGTACAAAGAGCGTAGAAGAGCAGACCATGAGATAGTTGGTTAAAAGCAAATTAAGTAATGAGAGGAACTAGAGGACAGAGGAGAGCAGTGACGAAGGAGTAGCGCCAAAGCGTATTAGAAATCGTACGCGTCAGAATTTAACAAGGAAATCCTGTTGTTGTAGTTAAAACAAATGAAATTTTCTCCAAAGCTAGAACAGATGATTCTGGTAAAATAGAAAATGTGAAATACAAAAAATATACATATATAATTTTTTTAATACATTTTAGTCGCATATGTACTCCTTCAAGTTTTTGTCATTCGCTAAATATAAAAGTCGTTAAAATAAGATATATTTATAGATAAAAAAAAATTACTTAAAATAATAAAAACTTTACTAACAATCCATGTGCGATTAACCCACTGTTCCAAACCCAGTCTTATGAATACAATCGTTACATAGCAAATGACGAACAATAATCTTAAAGAAGAAACACAAATTGTCTAAAGTTTAACGGTACAACACTTGCAATGAGTCATAAATTGTAATTCGTATGTATATGTAAATGTAAATTGAAAAAAAAAAAAATTTGTCTGTCAGCCATTTTGTGCATTTCCCAAGTAAAAAATCATTTTTAAATAAATATGTCAAATTTGCAAAAGAAAACTAAACTTTATATAAAAATAACACAAAATCAAAACATCAAAGAAAGAAAATAAAGAAAAAAAACATAAATCAGCAGGATTACAATAATAAATAGAATGCGCAATATTTTTGCAGTACTAAAAATATTATATAAATATTATACATTTAATTGCATGCAGATATACAAAAACGTTTACAACAAAAAAGTCACAATAAATAAACAAACTTTGGACAATCTTAATGTTGCGTGTATAAAAAATCACAAAAAGATTAAATGCATTCATAAATATATATAGTAATTTCAAAATATTAAATCAAATTTACCCTGCTATACATGAAATGGTTCTGGTTCTTAGGCTATTTCGAAATGTTTCAAATAAAAAACCACACAATAATATTGTTGCTTGAAAATAATTGAAGCGAAAATGCCCAGCGTATATTCTAGATACATAGCTACAGACATTCGTACATACACATAGATATGTATATATATATATATATTAAAATTTATATATATATACATATATTATATATTTGAAAAATCACTAACAAAACAAGTAACATAAGTAAAACATTTACCTGCAATCAAATCAGCGAATTTTAAATTAAAACCCGTTATGTGTATACAATTTTTGACTGCTAAAATGGCTTTTGAGTGGTATTTGCATATATATATATACATATGTATATTTGAAAATACATAAATTGATTTACAAAAATATGTATGAATATACTTTCTATAGTTATAATTTTTTTAACTCAAAAATAAATTTTTAGTTAACTAAATTTGAAAACGAATTAAGCTTTTACACAGCTTTTAAAAGTTATGGACCTTTGATAAAGCTTTTGATTTCATAATTTTGCTTTCACAATACCTTAAAGCTTTACCAAACATTTTGCTTTGCTTATTTTACATGTTTTCAAGTGTAGAGCTTTCACAAAGTTGTAGACTTTTAATAAAGCTTTTGATTAGCGAAATATTTTAATTCAAAAGCGGCACATATAAACAAACATTAACTTTAAACAGAGTTAAAATTTTGCCAAAACTTGGCATTTACTTTTTATTGTTTTTTTTTCGAAAGCTATAGAGCTTTCATAAAGTTTTTGTTTAACTAAAACTTTACACTTAAGAATGATCTATGGTGGTTTTGGGGATATTTGCGAAGCTATTAAAGTATATTTGGTTTTCAACGATTTTTAAGTTTTTACAAAGTTACACACACATATAAACAAAAATGGATATATGTAAAGCTCAAAAATATAATGATATTAAGCAGTAATTTGGAATCTACTACTTGGTTTTGGATACGTATTATGCAATTTTTAGTCCGCTAATGAGTTTTAAATAAATGCTTTGAAAATAAGTAGGAGTAACGTACTTTACACAGAGCTTTCTGCTTAGAAGCTTTCTCTTTTTTAATAAATATGCTAAATAAAAGCTTTACAAAGAGCTTTATGCTTGAAAGCTTTTACTATTTGAACAAATCTGCTAAATAAAAGCTTCGCACAGAGCTTTATGCTTGACAGCTTTAATTTTTGTAATTAAATCTGCTAAATAAGAAATATTAAACAATGCCCTAACAGCTATTTTAGTGTTGATTTCAGGGTCACTATAAATATGACTACACATAATGATGACTTTTTGTTGAGCAAAAACTTCAAGTATTCGAAAAAATTTATTTTTGTAGTATCACACATAGTTGTTTTTTAAATTATACAACAGGGTATATACATATCTATAAGAAACTGACATTTTTATTTCCAAAACATGTCTATCAGTTTTATTCTATTTCAGTTCTAGAACACAGCACATCACTACACTATCAGCCAACAATTGTTTATAAATGTTAACAAAAACAAAAAAATATTTACAATTGTGAAAAATTACTATAGCAAGAGTATAAAGAACGCAAACAGTAAACAAATTTTACAGTATATATATAAAGACCTAAAATAATTATGAAAAATATTAGAAAAATAGTTTAAAATCAAATGTTTATCGTTTAACAGAAATTTATAGTAAAATATACACAAATAAATAATGAAATGTTGTATTAGTTTGTTTTGCCAAACCACACGCTTCAGTTTAGTAAATTGAACTTGTCGAAATTTTTCAAACAAATTTCAAAAACATGCGCCTAAATGTAGACTACAACATTGGCACGCTTCTCACGTAGTGTTTTGCTTGAGCTAAGCTTGTTTAGGCTAGTTGCCTGCTGTAGTGCACTTTTCGGCTAATTCGCTTATGAGCAAGCTGAATGCTTAATAAGTTCAGTTCTTGTTCATTTTATTTGTGTGTAAAATTTGGAAAATTGCTTGGGCTGCAAGTAGCTGCTATTATTCTTTTGTTTTGATATTTTAAACGCAATTTACTTTGTAGTGTGCATTGCTGTGGTATTTATTCTTATTTAGTTGATCGAATAATATATAAATATATTTCTTTTTGCTAGAAAATTCAATCTCTTATAAAAGCTAAGCAAGATCATATTATTTGTATTATTTTTTTTGATGATTTAAAAAACTTTAGTTTATTTAATAAGATTAATACTTTTTTCTTTGGATTTGCCAAACCTGTCGAAGTGGCGAATCGAAGGTACAATAGCTCGTATTAATTTATTTGATACGATTTTACTTTATTTATTTATTTTATTTCATTTAGTTTTATTATATTAAATTCGTCTCTAAGATTGTAACAACTAAAAGGAAACTTCGACCCTTTAAATTATATATTATGTAACTATAATTCATAAACTTGATGAGCTGAGTCAACTTACCCAGTTCCGTCTGTCCGTCGTCTGTTTGTCTGTATATATGTGAACTAGTTTTTCGGCTTTTTAGATATAAAGCTGAAAGTTTACACAGGACCTTTTATTTTTAAGAAGTAAAATCAAGTCCTTGTATGGATAACCTTTTTATTTGACGAGATATCTTCAAGATATTTAGCTGGAGTTATTTTGCAAAACAATTATACAATTGCCGCAAAAATTGTTCAGATCGAACAATTATAAAATATAGCTGTTATACAAAATGAACTATCGAAGCAAGTGCTTGTAAGGAAAACCTTTTCAGTTGAGAAGATATATTCACGAAATTTGACATATATTTTTTTTCACGGCAGTGTTACAATCTGCGAACAAATTGCTTAGATCGGACAACTATAACAGATAGCTGCCATAAACTGAACGATAAAAATCAAGTTATCAAGTTATTATTTCTTTTGTTTATTTATTTAAATTTAATAGATTATAGAAGATTAAGTCCTTGTATTTTATTCTGTTTTATTTTACTTAATTTCGTTTTATATTATTTTATTTTACTTAATTTAATTTAATCTTATTTTATTTAATTAAATTTTATTTAATTTGATTAAATTTTCCTTTTTTTTATTTAATTTTATTTATTTTAATTTAATTTAATTTAATTTTGTTTTGTTTTATTTTATTTTAATTACTTTTTTTATTTTATTATAATTTAATTTATTTTACATAATTTTATTTTTTTACCTGATTTTATTTTATTTTATATAATTTTATTTTATATAACTTTATTTTATATTTATCTAAATATTATCTATTTAATATATTTTTGTTTTGCAATTATAACATGTTTTATTAGCATTTCCAATTATAATAAAAAAGTGAGGTTACAAGGAGTTCATAAAACTAATAATTCTGCATTTGCAACACAAAATCTGCTTTCAAAACACATTTGTCTGTCGTCGTAGACCATTTTTGTACATAAACAATTTATAAAACATGAATTCTCCTTCTATTTGCAGACAAGCAAATTTTCCAATCAAATTTGTTGCTGGAAAAACGTGTGGACTATTATTATTTTGCTTATATATATTATAACAGTAAACAAAAGTAGCAATAACTCTCTAATTGTAAAATATTCCATAAAAAAAAAATTGTTTAATAACGGTAATTTTAAATTGAAACGTAAACTAACAGAGAAAAATATATCATAAAAATAAAAAATGGCTACAACCAATTTAAATCATAGTTGTTATTCTAAAAGTTTGATTGGCAGCCGTTAAAACTGTAAATAACTGTTTATGTGTAAATTTATTAAATAATAAAAATTATTGTTACTTCACAGTTCATAACCAAAAAAATCAAAAAAAAAAAAAAAAAAATTTTGACTCTGCGTTTTGTATTTTACCCTGTTAATTGACATCGTCGTTGTTGTTGGCGTACTGATTTAGCAACTTAGCTATAAAGTGAGAGTAACAAAAAAATCAAAGTAGGAAAAGTATGTACATGAAAATAAAAGTTGGAATACTAAGATTGCCAATATAAAATTTATTTATATAACTCAAAATTCACACAAATAGTGACGAATCGTATTTGTAAGTGAGAGCAAGATCGCAGGTTTTAGGTACTGGGAATTTGCTTTGCGGAAAACTCATAAATATTTATTTCATAAAATCTCATAACAAAATATACACACATTTATATATATATATATATTATAGAGTTGGTAATGAAGAATGTAACAGTAAATACAATATTAAAAAAAAAATTTAAAAAGAAGGTATGTAATTAAGAGTAGATATATTTTAAAAATCATTAAAGGAGCATCAAAGCCCTACACTTTATCACCATTGTAATGAAAAATGGTTTATTGAAAGTATTATTATGAAATTATGCAATACTTTATATGTATTTATGGATAACTATTGACGAAGCTGTGCTGAAATTACAACAAAAACAAAAATAACTCAAATGTATGTTTTTTGAAGCAAATAAAATTTTGTCGTTTTTAAATGAGTAAATAAGTGTTTTAAAATTTTGATAGTACATGATATTTGCTATAATTATGTATATGATTTTATATACCAGAACAATACAAGGAAAAACATTCTTCATTTTATGAATATTATGAATAATCAGTAAAATGAACAAAACAAGTACTGGCACTCCTTTATTCAATTATGTCGATAAGCAATTTTTTAAAGAAAAGTCTCTAAACGGTGTTTTCGCTCAGGATTCATAAACTTTCAAACTAAATTATAAACATCATAAGAGCGAACATAAGCCGTTTATTAGAAAGGGTAAAAAAAAACGGTTAGCTTGTTTTGCTTAGTACACTGAAAAATAGGTTCTTAGACACCTCTAATAAAGTCACTTCATGTATGAGCTCTTATTTGTAATGGCAGGCCATAGATTATTTTCTCTTTTTCTTATTATCGGATAGAAAAATTAAAATCTCGCTTCCAAATACTACAAAAAATATTTAATTTCTTAGATATTGTAGGAAGTTTAAAAGATATTAAGGGTTAAAATTTAATTAATTTAAGGCGATTTTTTTTAATGAATATTAAAACTCAATGAAAAAATCATTACTAAACGGAGAACTCATATTTTTGTTGGAAATTTAGCGCTCTACAAAGTGATCTCTTATTAATCTCATATAATCACTTTCTATTACCCACCCTACTGTTTATAGAAGACAACCAAAATCGTCAGCGGTGTATGAAGTAAATGTAGTTTAGTTTCATAATGAAAAATAGAAGGAAATCGAGAATACAGTGTTGAAATTTACAAAGCTCATTTATAGTTCTCTTGTTCAATCTTGAAGAACTGCTGTTTTGTCTTATGAGAGTAAATGAACATTAGTATTTTTCAAACGCTGATCTCGAGCAAATAACAAACGCTTCATTACTGGAAACTAGAAATCCTATTATAAATAAACTAACATCCGCCAAATTCCGAAAACATAATCTACTTTATTACGAATACTCGGTTTATACACAATATTCTCTTCCTCCGTAGACAGAGAGTCAATATTTACAAATTTCAAATTCGTTTCCGTAAATACGTTTACGGCTTCACTTAACCTTATAAACGAATACTGATTTTGTAACACATAGTATATACGACACTCGTTTGAAATTTCCATTAACAGCATTCGAATTATAATTTTTTCCTTGCGCTCTTTTTGCTCTTCTAACTTCGCATTTACGTGTATGGCCAAGACGCCATCGAACTCATCTGCACCCAAAACAATATCGGCATTTCCCCAGTCGTCCACAACCACTGTTTTACTCGTACACTTTCCATTCAGCAGCGCACCAGAGATTACATCACAGTAAACCCCCGCAGGCAGGCAAGTATGTAAACGCTGCTTCAGATCCCAGTTATTGCCATTGAAGGCGATAAAACCACGTTTGTCGCGACAGAAAGCAATTTGGTTATCGTCGTTGTCCCACCAATTAGACATTTCAGCGCCGCGCACTGCATTCTTAAAGTCCACCATATTATAGATTTGACGCCAACGGTGCTCACAAACCCAACCGTTTGTACAGGCGCCATCTTTGTCAAACTCCGGTGAGAGTATTTGTTCATTTTCATCAGCTGGCGGTGCCTGATCATGATCTCGGAAATCAAAAGAGCTCATCACGCGCATTATGCCGTAGGGGTAAGCTAAAGCGAAAGCGTTGGCCATTTTGTATTGCTTGGCATTTTTATATGTGAGCACATTGCCAGCTTCGCGCTGCTTATCATGATTATCGATAAAGACGAAAGCGTGTTCGGTGGGTAAGAAGCTCCACTCGGTACCCCAGTTACGCAGCCACTTAAGTTGATTATAGCCACGAAATGCGCCACCTATTTCTTCTGAGAAACGAAATTCTGTCACAGCGCCCAGCGGGCTGTACTCATATTTGCTGATCTGTTCGTAACCATAATCGACTACTTCCTGATAGATGAAAGGACGTGCATTGCGTGCAAAACCATGCGCGGTGTTGAGATCAGGCAAACTATCATAAATTAGCTAAAAATAAATTTTTATAAAAATGAGCATGTTGTGAAGTAATATTTTTCAGATAGTACTACCTTTAAATCTTCCGCCGGCATATGCTTGGCGGCATCTACACGAAAACCCGCCACACCTAACTCAATGAGGTGATTTAGAAATCCTAACAGTTGTGCACGCACACGGTCACTACTTTGATCCAAGTCTTTCAGGCGTACCAGTTCGCAATTTTGCACTTGAAAACGATCGTTCCAATCCTGTATATCACAAGTCGAGTGAAAATCATGCGCTGTATATGGCACAGCGGGAAAATTCTTCGCGTTCGGATAGGCAAACGAGCCGCCAGTGCCATACACGACACCATCATACGAGGCAGCCATATGATTGAGCAACACATCAACGTAAATACGCACGCCGACAGCGTTACAACTGCGCACCATATCAGCGAACTCGGTCTCATTGCCAGAACGTGTAATCAATTTGTAGGAGACCGGCTGATAACGCTCCCACCACGGACGACCGGCAATCACTACATTCTCAGCAACGGGCGAGACCTGATTTGGTAAATTCGTGAAATGAATAAAGCAGTAATTGTTTATAGTGTTATTATTAGCATGCGCTCACCTGTACGCCGGCGAAACCGCGTGGGGCTAGAAAGCGCTCGCATTCTCTAGCTATATCCGTCCATTTCCATTCGAAGAGCTGCACAATGGCACTTCGCTCAGCCCACCAGTGTGGCTCGTGTTGTGCCTCGACAGTGGCGATGAGTATTAGCAAGCTCACACTTATATAACCATAAATATTAGTTTTAAGCATTTAGTTAGCGCATTTGTGTTGATCGTTATGCCGAGTGTGTACACACCACTATTCGCACTTTGCGTGCACTTTCGAGCTTTTATACGTTTTTTTTTCGCAACTAACACTTATCATGTGGTTATCAACTGATAACTAACTGCAAGATACGTCGATTTGTATTTTGCAAATGCGTAAGAGAAAAATATTCAGCAAGTCATGTTGCAAAACGAATATGAAGGTACTCTGACTTGATCAATGAATTATTCGCTATCGGCGTTTAACTCGTCAGTAGACCGCTGTGCCACGAGTATGAAATGTAAGGCATGTGTGTTAGCACCTGTTCAATAATTTATGATCTTTCAGAACCTCTTGTTTTTTATAATAAAACTCAGGCCAAACAATCAGTGGTTTTTGCAAAATTTTTATTGCTTCGTAGCGCTTATTTTAGAGGCAGCGGATAGTTCAATTTTTGTTGTGGTTAATGAGTTCTAGATTAATAAATTCTAGTAGTGTTTGTAGATATATATGTTAGTTGTCTGCGCATGTATAATAATGTTTGAGTAACACTTATTTCATAAATAATTTTATTATGACTTGGCGAAATGTTTACACCAGGCAGCACAAGCTTATAGCTTTAACTTCCAGAAATAATGAAACGAGATATAGATGTATGAAATTTTTGCGCAAAACATTTACAGCTGGCAACACTAATCTGGATTCAAAAGCATATTTAAAAAATATAGATATATATAAAAATACAATTTCTATATTATAAACGTAAAGAAGTTTTTGAAATTCCATTAGCTTCAAAGTTTTTTTCCCCAAGAACGCTGTACAAAAGTTCTTCTAAGATAACTGGCCTGTGGCAATATTTTATTTTTACTAGCCTGTTTGATAGCTCTAATCTTCAGGTACTCTAGAATATTTATGAAGATAAGGGTTAAAATCAGCTATAATTACATACTAACTGGATATACTCCTATGGATTAGATTATTCCCAAATATTGCAAATTTTTGAGAGAAAATCAAATTATAGAGCAATAAGGTCGATCGGCAACCTCGTGTTCATTGCAAAGGTTCGAACCAGTGTCGCAACTAGCTACAATTATAATTATACTGGGTTAGATTAGTTCCATAAATCGCATATTTTTAGAGAAAATTAAATTATAGAGCAATAAGGTCGGTTGGCAACCTCGTTTTTATTGCAAATGATCGCATTGTAGAAGAATAAAGACACCATTCGTTGTTCAGTTTTTTAGTTGAAGAATACTTGACTAATGGGCAAACTCTGTATGTTATAAAAATGCAACTCCTGCGTTCTAATTACATCATTGCTATCGTACTCTCTTCGTACTTCTCGTACAGATGTCCGCCGTTAACGATACGAGTAATGAGTGCCAAGGTTTGCTAGCGAAATACGTATAGAGTAGGAAATTTCCAAATCCACAAAACGATATATATTTTTTCAAGCAGTTGGAAGCGAGATATGAATTTTTCTATTTGATAATAAAAAAAAGAACTGTAAGACGGAGAAGGTGCTCCCGTTATCAATAAAAGCTCATACTTAAAGAGACTTTCTTAGCGGAGTTTATTAACCAATTTTTAAGAGTATCAAGTGAAGAGTTTTTTGTTTTTTGACACACTCTAATATACTACTTGAGAGAAAAACTTTGTTATCAGTGTTGGAGTATTTAAACAATCGTAGATCGAAGACTATATATTATGAATAATTGCAATTGCATTTGCGAGCCTGTGCATGTTTTTGAAGGTCCGTAGATAGAACTAATGCTTCTATAACTCTTTGGTCTTAAGACTCTGTATGCCTAAATAAATTTTGACTACTCTAATAAAAGATGGAAATTCTTTTGAGTTTTGCGTTTGACCATTTATGTAAGTGTCTAGCTATGTATATTGTAATGTTTTTGAGATATTTTGTTATCTATGTACACTTTTTAAACGGTACTTGCCGAAATGACGGCACATTTTTACTCGTATTAGGGGAAAGCCATCGCTACAATTTTCACAGTTTAAAAATTACTCATCATTGAATCTCTCGTATGCGTATTAAATTGAGCCGCAGTGGCGTGAGTAGACAATTTTCGGTATACAATAATAATTCTTAATCGTAAAGCTCCGTTTACGTAGATTCTACTAACACGCGCTCAAAAGTTCTCATGCTAACACTCGTTCTTTTATAGAAATTATTTGGTATGTTTTAAGGTTAGATTGTGTCAAGAGATATTTAGGATGAGATGTTCTATTTTGATTCTAATCTTAATGTCAATAAAGTAATATCATGGGTATAATAATGTAAAAAATATCTCCGAAATTATTTTTGTTCAAAGTTTGGTCATAAACGAAATCAAGGTATACTTTTGCCTTAACACATATCTGGGCCTGTGAAACTAACTTCACTAACTAACTTCAGTTGTTGGAAATCGTGAATCTGAGTAGCGATTCTTTGTATTACTACATATGCAGTATTGATACCTTATCGACTCTACTGTGCGCTTGAATCCGCTAGAGAAGCATACTTTACAAACAGTCCATATATGTATTCTAGTAGTATATTTTTTAAATAAAAACTTATAGTTTTCTTTTTTTCAATCGGTTCTTACTTTAATATTTAAACAATTTTTAATTAAGAAGTATATTTTGTTTCGTGCATAATTCAAGCTTTGTTGAAATGTAGCCACTCTAACGCCGAAGCTTCTCACGTGCTTTAACCTCTTGCAAATAATACTTTCTCAACACAACTGTTAGATAGTAGATAATTTCTACAATCGAAACCATACTGATACCAACAAAGAGACTGAAAGCGCTGCCCAAGTTAGCTAAGAAATAATATACATACATTATTGGCATTGGCTAAAACTATTTGGGTATATACTTACAAACTAGAGTCACCATATTTGATAGTAGATCACGGCGTACACGTAAATATACTTGATTGTTAAAGTATATATGAATGACGGAATGATTATCTTGTACACCGTTACTGCAAATGTAAAACGTAAACGTAGATCGTGTTAGTAAATTTTTTTTTTGTAGTTTCTTTGTCGATTAAGGAAGTTAATTAAATTGAAACTTTTTTTTTAACTATCATTTTTTTTTTACAGATTCATACTATACACATATACTATATATTATTAATACATATGTATATGAAGTATATAGCGATAAAAGGCAACTCTATCAACTTACTAAAACTCATCCACAGTCGGTATATCAATCTGCAATTCGGCACTCGTCAAATCCACGAAAAACTCAACTGATTCGCACGGATTCCGGCAAAAACATTGATCTTTCCGATAACGTCCCACTATTCTGGCTATAAAGAGTAGAATACCTATGAATTAATATAAAAATGATTACTCTCCTTATGCTTTACTGAAAACCTACTGAAATTCGCCAGTAGACAGGGTATATCCTTAATGGAGCAGACGCGCTCCTGGGTCTCATTCGTGTAAAAGAAATACGTTATGCAACCGCATAATTTGAGCGTAGTTTGCACACGACATTCAAGAATACAATTAGTACCCACATGTCTCTTGAAATGCTTGAGTGGAAATTCATGCGGCAGCACACATTGGCGCTGGTCTATCGACAGCGCTTTAACCGCGGGCGAGCAGTACGTCTCAATGGGTTGTATACTAAGGAAAGTCTCCTGCTTAAGTGGTGTAAATTTGGTGATAGAGTGCGCACTGGGGAAAGCATCATTCTCCGAGAGTAATACTTTAAAACCATCCGAGTAGAGACCCAACTCGCCATAATCCGCGTCATTGTAATACAGTATCAGTGAGAGACCATCGAAGAGACCTCCGCGTGCAGTCTTCCCAGTGTAGTTCAAACTGATAATAGATAAAATAATTAAACTGAACACACAAGAGCAAGAAAGCGGTAACAATAATTTTATAGCATTTCTCACCCCGGCTGATTGAGGTTGAAGGAACAGCAGTAGCCGTAATATGTGCGCGACACTTCTATAAGTTTCCTGCAATCCATAATTCGCCACATAAAACGGCAGCGAAAAAATATATCTGAACAATTCCACTGTAGATTTTGCATGAATGTCAATGTGCTTATATTATTAATATCGATCAGATTCTGTAGCAATTCAATATTTTCCGTGCTGTAAGTATAGTCATCGGTGATAAAGCCGAAATATGTTGCCAAAGTTGCCATTATCTGGCTTGTATTTGTATCGGTTGGAAGCTTGCTGCGGAAAAAGTAGCAGATATTTTATTTCCATAAGAAAAATATGTGAATTACTATTTTAAAGTTGGGTTATATGCAGTGTGCATATTTTCAGAAATTCTCATATACGATTTATATAATTGGTCTACAAGTAGTAAAAAGAAATACAATTTTGTATTAAATTGAAGGTTCATTAGGCATAGTTGTAATGAACCGATTTGGGTTAAATGTACACCGTTTTGTACGTTAAGAACATCTTAAACGTAAACTCACAAAGACATTCTCATAGAAACACTCCTCTTAATTGGCAAAAAGCTGAGACAGTCGATTTGCACAGAGTTCTTTTGAGGCGGTTTTTCGGAAAATTATTCGCTTTAGACAGGAATAGGTAGTGATGATGTCAGGTTTAGACCATAAGTTGGATGCATATAAACCTCGCCTTCAAGCTTCCGGAACTTTTGGCGAGTCACTATTGAAGTGTGCGGCTTAGTATTGGTCTGATGGTACGATTGCTTACTTCAGACGTTCCAATTGTAGACCGCATATATCCGATTTTAGAATTTTACAGAATGGGAGTACCGCAAAATAGATGGTTCTCTGTCAATTCCACCAAACACATAACATAAAATTCTAAACCGTCAATCCTGGCTTGGCCATCGTTTGTGCCCGCCTTGGCTAAGTTTTTTTGCGAATCAGCACCGATTCGCAGATGGAAACTCAGTCCAATAGTCAGGCACGCTCAAAAAGTCTGATAAAATTTTTTGGCCAAATATGTATGTATATTCATATAGCAATATATATATATATAGTAGCTCGATTGCACTTATACTACGCTTACAAAACCCATCTATGAGAAAAATAATGTACTCCTCTTTAATACAATATTATACTTGTAGCACCCTTAATTTGAGTCGGATGACATTAAGGCTTATCTATAATAGTACAGTTTACATAGTGTTAGAGAAATATTTTTTTAAACATACATATTACTTGTTTCCACTATAAAGAAGTGGATGATTATACAAAGTTTAGTAATGAAATTAAGAGAAATTAGTTCTTGCTCTTCATAATACTCACAGCGTTGCTATGTAATTTTTTGCCTTTTGTATGTTGTAGAGTGTCTCCGTACATATAGTTATGGCGGGAAAAATAAGACTATCAACCGGGGCATGATCATTTTCAATATTCATACGGATGGGATTGCTGCGGTAACTTACATAAAATGTATAGACCATTAATATTGCACAGATAAACATAATCAGCGTAATGAGCATCCAGATGAAACTGCGAAGAGAGTTTCAATAAATTTATGATTTTGGTTTAAGTCAATAGTTTTTTTTTTTTTTTTTTTTTTTAAGAAAGTGACGATGACAAAATGGGTAAATGTATTAAGAGATGTGTATATAATATAGTAAAATAAAATTGTTGAAGAAATCTTTACGGCGCCTTCACCGTACTTAATGAGGGCGCTTAAAATGTGAGCAATCAAAAATATATCATATAATAACTTAAACATCACATGATGCATACATACCGCACGAATTTGCTTGTATCTCTGTCTTGTGTATACTTCAAGCCATGTATACTACTTGAGGCACAAAATGCGAACCAAGTCCTCTTGAGTGCTGCATAAAGTGCGGATGACTCTCTCTTCTTTATTTTGATCTGAGCCATTTTACTTCAAAAAAAAAACAATAAAATAACAATAACATTTGCGTTAAATGTTACAATTAATGAAGTAATAGTAATTATATATGAAGTAATGCTAATTTATGTTGCAATACCTAACATGAGTAGTGTTAGTTAGATTTCATTCATACATACATACCTATGTACATAATAACCGTCAAGTGACTTACAATCGAGAGAAATATATTATTGATTGGCAAATTAATTAGTTACTAAAAGTTTTAAGCAAAAGTTTAGACAAGGATATGCTGTCAAAGAAATTACAGGTATATATTTTCAAAAATCATGCTGTAGCAGGTATATAGATTAGAATAACAAAAAGTTTTGAAATTACAATCGGCGACATGTTGTCATAAATTGCTACAAAATAGTAGTCAAGAACTGACTGTGACACGGTGAGATACTCATAAATTGCTAACAAACATTATGCAAGAACTTTACTATTACTATGACTACGACTGTCATTAAATTTGACTTTGGCAGATACTCATAAATTGCTACAAAATAGTAGTCAGGGTAGTTATCATCACTTTAACTATGACTATATTAAATTTGATATAGTGTGAGACTCACTTTATGCTTATGTAACATATATGAAAGGGTTACAAAAAATGTTTCTATTAAATCTAAAAAACCTTAGCGTACTGCTTGGTAAAAATTTCATGCGTGAGCTCATTTCTGAATACATTTATATACAGTAATGTGCAATACAATAGAACCAATAGTAATAAAATCAATAAATTATTTAAAATTCGGCTTTACCTACGGCATTTATATTATATTATATTTAAGGTTCCCCAGTCTTTGTTTTTACTTCTGTTGAATTGTTCACCAATATGCTTTTACTTTGCTGGTGTATAATAATATGTAATGAATTCTTAAACTAAGTTTAAAGTTAAAAGATTTTTTTGAGTTTTGAGTCGATTTAGCCCTGTCCGACGTCTGTTCGTCAGTCTGTCTGTATTTACGCGCACCAGTCCCGCTCTTTTTGAGGTATCAATCTGAAATTTTGCACACGTCCTTTTCGCCACAAGAAGCTGCTCATTTGTTGAAATCGTCGATATCGGTTTACTATAGCATATAGCTGCCATACAAACTGACTCATCAAAATAATCATTTTTTATTTGAGAAGATATCTTAACAAAATTTGGCATGTATTATAAGCCAAAGCATCGGTATCATCTTCGATGAAATTGTTCAGATCGGATGACGATGGCATATAGCTACCATACAAATTGACCAACCAAAGTCAAGTTCTTGTATGCAATCTTAAGTCGTGAGTAGTTTTACTAAAAAAAAACAGTATAATATAAATATTGCTGTCTTAAGGAGATAAATTATTGTAAAAGTTAAGGATATTAACATGTATTGTACATTGCATATTTAATTATTCCACAAATTTTTACTAAAAATAATTGTTATTTTAATTTTTTCTCTCATTTTATATCTATGTATTTATTCTTTTTTATTATACATATATATTAAATATGCTAATTCAATGATTTAATTCCTCTTAATAAATGTTGCATATCACTGGCTTTATTAACATTTGATTTTATTACATTTGCTATATTACCATATTTTTAATGTAATTTTCTGTTTTTAATACGTATTATCACAAGCTTAAACAATCTAAATATACAGAAAGATTTACTGATTTTCTTGTTGATAATGATTAAATTTTTTATTAATTAAATTAAATTTTATTGTTTTCTACTCCATTTTATTTATTTTTATTAATTTTTTTAAAATAAATTTAGTTACCTTTTTTTGACTTAATTTAATTTAATTTTACTATTTTATTTTATTTTTTTTTATTTTTTATTTTATTTCCTTTTATATTGGATTTTTTTATTTAATTTATTTTAATTTAGTTTAATTAAATTTTATTTTATTTTATTTTTTATATTATTCATTCAATATAATTTATTTAATTTTGTTTTACTATTTTATTTTATTTTTTATTTTATTCATTCAATTAAATTTATTTGAATTTAAATAAATTAATCTAAATTTTATTTTATTTTACTTAATTTAATTTTTTTATATTTTGAAATTTTATTTCTTAATTAATTAATTTTTTTTTATTACTTAATTTTTTTAAATTAATATTCTTATTGTACTTTATGCTTTTTTTATATTATTTTATTTTACTAAATATTTGTTAAATTCTTGCTTTCATATATTGTCACTTTTTGTGTGTTGTTATTATATAGGTATATGTTTCCTTTCTAGCCAACGAACAAGCAACGAATGTGCTGCCAATTAGCCGCTAAATCAATCTAACGAATCTCTTTAGCGGACAAAACATTCAATTAAAACGATTTGCATTCAATTAAAATCGCATCAATTGCCTAAATAACATATATTTTCAAGACGATAAGAATGAGGGCGCGCCGGAACATTTTTACTCCACTAATTAATTATATCTGCGATACATTGGCATGCTTTTAGGCACTCTTACTGCTAGAAGTGCCGTTACAAATAAAAAAAGTCAAATCTATCGTCTACAAAGCCATGTATATACACATATACATGCATATATATTATATATAGCAATACAAAGCTTTTATATTTTGTATTGTCCGTGCTTTCAATAGCTTTTCTGAATACATACTGAGCTAAGTTCTCAACCACAAGCACTCAATTTAATGCAGCGCTAATGTCACCTTCGTTGCGTGCGTCGCTCTTACTTAATCGACATTCAACTCAATTTAAATATCTGCCGAAATAGCTCAGTTGGGAGAGCGTTAGACTGAAGATCTAAAGGTCCCCGGTTCAATCCCGGGTTTCGGCAGTCAAATATAATTTTTTAATTATTTCCCAAACTAATTTAAAATAATTTCTTAGTAGAGAAGTGGGAAAAGTAGAACAACATAAACATAATACGTGACTTGTTTATTTAAATAAACTTGGTCAGCAACAAAAAGTGTCTGGTTTACTTGCGTTCGTTTGCTGACGTTTGCATTGCCACACGAGTATACAATGAAAATATATGAAATAAAAAAAAATATCTGTCTCTTAGCGACTAATCCGTGCTACATACCATAACTAATTTGTTTTACGTAAGGTGTTTTGTATAATTCAATATGACGCTGAAGTTCAGCTGACAACGGCAAATTCACCGAAGTTTCTACGAACATTGTCACGTGCATATGTATGTGTGTACTTAGGTAAATAAATCTTTACGAACGAGTAAAACATTAATTGGAGTACTTGCTATGTGATCACGAGTGGCAGGACGGATGTTTTAAATAAATTAAATTACTGTCGTATAAATAAATAGAAAAAAAAAACAAAAAAATGCAAAGTAATCAATCAAGGAAATGACTGAGAAGCGTTCGTCTCTGCCATTGCGGTCTGTCAACCCAGTTCATTGAACTTCCCTTCGAAATTGAATTGAAACCTTGACAAGTAAATCACAAAATTGTGGTTATAAATAATAAGTTCGACCTTCGTAGCTAACAGTGCCATATAAACGCCACAGACAAGCCTCCAGCACGCGGCTTTTAATTGCAAATATATATATACTACATTATCTTGCACATATAGAAATATAAATACTTTTTCCGTAGATAGTAGTTCTTACGGTAATCATGACAAAATGAAACTGTATTTATAAATGCCATAGAATATCATTTACCTAAAACATTGCGAGAATATCTTTTCGCTTAACGCAGGCTAGGATCGCAAATCTGAAACTTTATCTCTCTTTATCGCTCTCTCTCTCTCTCTCTCTCTTTCTCTCTCAAAGAGAACGCTCCAAATGAAGTTCTAGTATGCATAACTTTTTCATTTGAAAAGGAAATTTCACAAAATTTTCGCTGTCTGAGACAATTCTATAATCTCCGAAGAAATTATTCAGATCGAATCACTATAACATACAGCTGCCATACAAATTGAACGATCAAAATTATGTTTTTGTATGAAAAACCCTTTTATTTGACAAGATATCTTCAAGAAATCCGGTAGAAATTGTTGTCCAAGACAACGCTACAATCTCCGAAGAAATTGCAGAACGCACCACTATAGTGTATAGCTGCCATACAAACTGAACGTTTAAAATCAAGATAAGTATATTGTTATACCTTTTCATGTACCTTTTTTTCTTTTTTCTTCCCAAAACATGTTTTATACTCAAAAATCAAATGAAAAACAACTTGTTTGGTTTTTTAAACTCTCTTCGAGTCATTTTTGTTTTTTAATTTATTTTATTTTGAAGTAGATTTCTTACTCTTTACTACACATTCTCGTAGTTAAAAATCATTTTTGGAAATTATAGTATGTCTTGAATAGTAATCTTGTATCAAATGGAAATATTTTTTTAGCATTTCGTCTTACAAATTAGATTGTCACTTATACTGTTTATTGGCTTGTTTCGTTTTGTCCGTTTATCTTTCACTTTTCCACACTTCTTCATGTACCGACTTTATAACAAATGTATAAAATAATTAATTTTAGTAGTATTTTAGAGATGTATGTGTGTTTATATACTATTGTACAAGTATATGTATTAGTATAACAATTCTAGTCAAAAAGTTGCTTTAAGACATTTTTTGTGTTAAAAGCATTGTACGGTTTTACTTTTACTACTTTTCTTAAACAAAAAATAATATTTTTTATAAAATCAATTCACAATAACATTAAAAAGCGCTAACAGTGCGTACATTCATACATGTGTGTGTGTGTGTATATATAAATTAAAAGTTTCTTTCAGACATTATACTTTAAACTTAACTTTAAATAAATTAACAATTTACGGACCAAGTCCATAAAAACTTTACACTTGCATTTTTCAAAAGCAAAAAATTACAGAAAATCACTTAGTTGGCACCATTGGCGTATTATATACTTAAGATGCGTTGCATAGTTTTAGCGGCAACTGTCTTTTATCATTCACATTTTTATTTATACTCGGCTGAGAGCTGAGAGAGAAAAGTGTCCGTTAGTTTTAATGCTGACTCTTGTTATAAAAATTTATTTATTATTTTGCACGCTGTGTACCGTTATCACACTACTTTTTTCTTTTCTTACTTACGGTACACTTTATGTATTTTATTTTAATTTTCTAAGGCACACACATTTCTCTCGCACATAAATTCACTATGCCTTATTAATTACTAAACATAATAAAAAATACGCTGCTTAAATTACTAACTGTCTGTCTGTTTGTTGTCTAACTAGCACTAGCATCGAATCCACAGCTTCGAATAACTTAAAATCATATATGTATATATACTAGATCGGCGCTCAGTTGTTGCTGTCTCGCCTTAGACGTGTGTTCTACGCACTTAGTGTCCGGTTTCGTTGACATTCCCCGTCATCAAGGTCAGACCATTATCAACGCCGGTTATAAAACGTGGACTCGCGCCATTCGACGTCAGTGTGGTTGTACCAGGAGTAATGGCGGATGGTTCCTTCACGTCATTGGCTGGGTTGTCCCACCATTGACGTTCACCCGAACCGAAGATATTATAGAAGGTAGCGCAGAAGATATACACGAAAGCGGCGATGAAGAAAACGATCTGCCATTGACCTATAGTAGGCTGGAGAGAGAAAGAGAGATATTGTTTAAATATTATATTTGAGGATGAACTTAAATATTCATAGGCATAAGATCGTGCATAAGCGTGCTCAAAACGCAGCTTAGCTGCTCATACATTTACACACCTTATTGTTGATTAAGTTTCCGGCGGCGATGGGCGCCAATAGACCCGCCAAGTTTGCCGAACAATTTGTGATGGCCATCAGGAAACCGGCATAACGTGGCGATAGATCCAAGTGATTGATTTTGAAGCCGGAGTAGATACCACCGTTGAGACCTACACCCACCGTGAGTATGGCAAGTGTTAAGGCACGATCACAGCCTGTGTACGATGCGGCAATTAGAGCCAAACCCGGACCATATTGACCTATAGTGTGAATGAGTATACAAATAATTAGTATAAATTAATTTATTTTGCTTTTCTGCTCCTTACTTACCAATACTGTTGATAATTTTTCGAGTTGATGTGTGAGTGAAACGATTTGATGAAATCATCCAATCGGCAATTACCGAAATGAACATTGAGAAGAGCCACATAGCCAAATAGGGTAGGGATGAGAGTAAGCCGTTGGCTTTCAGTGAGAAGCGCAACACTTGCTTCATGTAGGTGGGCAATTCAGTCATCAGTGTCTCGTAACCATAGTTGTGACCCATATGGGCAAGCAAAATAGCGTAGAAGGGCAGGCACTTCAAGATGGACTTGAAGGGAATTGCTGGAACCTATCAGGAATGAAGAAAATCACACAAATTTGATTAATATATATTCGTAGACATACTTCAAATTATTGTAGTTATATTACAGGTCAGCTTTAGCGTATCACTAACTGTTTCGTACATATGCTGTATATAAGCACCAACACCTACCTTTTGATCACCAGTACCCCAGAGACTAGTATTAATGTATTTCTTCTCGCGTTCATCGATGTGTGGATGCGATGAAGGATCCTCATAGACGAGCCATAGGAAAGCAATCGACCAAATTGTACCAACAGCGCCGAAAACATAGAAAATCGATGGCCAACCGCCAGAGAAACCATACTCGGCCAACAAACCGGACAAAGGCATAGATATGATTGTACCGAATTGTGCGCCCGCATATACCGCCGCACCCATACGTGAGCGCTCATTGGGTGGTATCCATTTGGCGAGCAGCGCGTGTGTACATGGCACAATTGGACCTTCGCCGAGACCCTGAATGAAGCGTACAGCACACAGACCATAGACGCCACCTTCGTAAGCGGCAACTGGCACGAGGAAGGCAAATACGGAATTGACAAGCATACCCCAGCCAAGGAAATTCATGGCGCCATATTTTTTCGCCAAAATACCGAAGGGAATCTAAAGCAGAAAGAGTGCGAAGAAAGTGATTATTATGGGATTAGTGATATACTGAAAAAATTGCTCTTTTTGCAATGTACTAATTATTAGTTTTGATTTTATTATTGGCTACTCACTTGGGTCAGCACATAACCGTAGAAGAATGAAGATAATATGTAGCCCTGTAAACTAGAGCTCCATACGAAGTCGCCGTCTTGACCATTTTCCTAAAAAAGTAAGTGAAGTTATAAATATCGAGTGCTTGAACAGTTTCTATAGGTGCTGATTTACTTACCACAGCCGTTAGATTTTGATTCGGACACTCATCGTCAAATTTATCGTCTTGATCAACGCTGATGGCAGTGTGATTTACCATCGCCACAATGGCTACGGACATATTCGTACGCATCACATAAGCATTGGCCATGCCCAGAAAGAGCATGAAAGTGACAAAATATCTTGTTGAGAAACATCCTGAAAAAAGTAAAAGAGATATTAAGGGTTAAGTATATTAAAAATGAAGGCTTACATATTTTCTTGAACGGTTAATTATATGATATAAATTTAGTAATAAGAACTCTTAACTATTTATACTTTTTATTGAAAAACTGTAACTTTTTTATTTTATTTTATTTATTTCTTTGAGTTTTGTATTGATTTGAGTGCAATACTAAAAATACTAAACGTGTACTTAAAGTATTAAAAGTGTACTAAAAATACTATTGTGCTAAAACTAGAAAAGTGTTGTGAAAATATTAAAAATGTTCTAAATATTCTTAAATACAGATCTGAAAAATTGAAAAAATCATATATTTTAAATTAGTAAACGACAACTGTAGTAATTGAATATTTCTTTTTAGTACATCTTAAATACACCATTACTTCTCCAATACTATTCTTATATTATCCGCCACCATACGCTAATTAGTTATTTGATTTACATTTGTAGCTAAAAATTTCTGCTGACAAGTCATTCAATTAGCGAAGGCGTCATACGCCGTTAGTACTCTGTTTCGTAGCTGAAGCACTAAAAGCTCGTGACTACGAAGTAAGTGAGTTGTGTAACACAGTTTTACCGTTGGTGAAAAGAATTTAAGCGGTGGCATTGCGGAGATGCCACGTGAATGCCTTGAGATATGAGTGATTCGTAAGATAATATTTGTTTTTGTAAAAGCTTGTATATTTTTAAGGTTTTCTACGATAAAATGTAAATTTAATTTGGTGTGAAAAAAGTAAATAATTATGGCACTGCTTGACGGCATTCGCTATATATGCGTCCGCTTGTAGACACTTTGAGCTTATATCTGCTGGCAATTAAGATTTCCGGCTATTGATCACTGCCTTGCACCAGCGTCACAGATCTTAATCAATACAAATGTTTTTACGCCAGAAATTAAAAAAAAATTCTTTTTCAGCTGCGCGTTTAGCAGATTTGCGAAATGATTTCTACAAAATGTTGAGTTTAACTAAGTGAAATATATGTCTGTATATATTTAGATGCTTATGTATATAACTATATATGTAGCTGCGCTTGTTTGAGCGCACATTGACAGGCTATTAAAGAGTTTTTGAAAATATACCAAAGAAATGTACTTTTTTTTTGGTTTTTGCACCAATTTGGCATGTTAAGCAAGTTCTAGGTAAGATCATTTTTGGCAATGGTTTATATTTTGCCAGCGGCGAAATTAATATTTCAACAGAAACAGCTGCACGCGCTACTAAAAATGTTAAACATCTAAAGTAATTTTTTAAGTTCAATAAATGTTGAAAGTTAGTTTGGCTTTATATAAAAAGCTCTAAAAGCTTTAAATCATCTTACTTTGAAAGCTCTTAGATTCTTCATATGAATATGTTTTGTAAATTTAAAGTTCCGTAATAGTAATTTGATTGTAACAAGCTTTAAAGCTTTCAATAAAATTAAATTTGCATTCGAAACTTTTGGCTAATTAAGTAATTAATATGCATAAAAATGTTATAAGTATGAAAGCTACAAGGAACAAGCTTTTAAGCTTTTTGTTTTATGTGATCGCATTTCGAAATTTGCGTACAAATCAATGTAACTATTTAGAGGACATTATAAAATCAGCGAACCTTGAAGCTTTCATATAAAATGTAAGCAATCTGTGCTTACACGAAGTTTAAGATTTAAATATACATATGTATGTACATATATATGTGAACCTTAAGTCAGAAATAATGATAGTTTCGCTGGAATTAGCCTTAAGCTTTAACTCCTTCAAACAGTAGTGATCTTATCAATTCTGTTTAGCGGAATCGAGCTGTTAAAAATATGCTTTATACTACGCTTTCACATAAATATAAAAATTTTTTATTGCAAAGACTTTGGTATACATGAAAACTTTTAATTGGCGGTAAATATAAGCATTTTAAACTTTAAAGCTCCCAGGGATGAAAGCTTCATAAGCTTGTAATGATGAGATTAATATTGTAAACTTAGTTTCAGATAACACAGCAGTCAAAGTATCGTATTGTAAAAGTTGTGGCATGGATGAAAGCTTCATAAGCTTGTAATGATGAGATTAATATTGTAAACTTAGTTTCAGATAACACAGCAGTCAAAGTATCGTATTGTAAAAGTTGAGCTTTTAAGCTTTTGAGCTGAGTTAACTCTTTATACCTAAAAATTTGTATAATTTACAATCAAAGCTAACAATCCATTACTAATTAATTTTAATGAATTAGTTATATAACAACTCATTATTAAATTAAAAAATTATTACTTAGATTTTTCTAAATAAAGCATGCAAATCGGCGGTAATAAATAGTTATAACTTCCGTGAATTCAGTTAAAATCTAGACAGGATTCTCTCTGTATATCTGAAAGCTGCTACATTTGAAAAAAAGCAATATAATGCTAAAAATCAGTTTTGGCTAGTCTTCGAAAAAAAAACTTAACTTTATATCACGTTATCAGCAAATATTATATTTTTCTGATACACATATCCTATGAAATCTAGATATGTATACGCTCCATTGATGGACAGACAGCACTTGAATTTTATCGGTAAAACAATTGGCTTGATTGCATTAAGCGCTTCATTAATAATAATAAACAAGAAATAAATGCAAAAATTCAACTATCAGCGAAAGTATGGCGAAAAACAATATCACAATCAACAATAAAAACGAAAGCGACAACGACAGCTTACTAAGTGATTACTTAATTTCCTCTACGGAATATGGGTGTTAATGGTAGAATATTTAAGCGCACACTTATGTATATTTATATATATATATAAGTTAGCATATAAGTGTATATATGCATATATAAGTGTGACACAAAAAATGCTTGGTTAAGCTTTTAGTGTCTGTCAATTTCCGCAGACGTCAGCGTGATAGTCGAGCACACGTGCATGACGGCACCAATGGAAAGCAACAAGCGAGCGTCCCACAGCTTATCTACGCGGCGAATAATGAGTGAAAATTCTTGGCATAATAACCAAAAAAAAAGAAAAAAAAAAACTGAGTAGAATCAAAGAAAAGATTATGTAGTCCGAGGGTAGGTACTTATGTATGGTAAATGCTTGTGTTGCTATATGTCGGCTGTATACTTCTTTGCGTAAATACATTTGTATGAGTGAGTTTATGGAAGTATATATATATACTACATATTTTTGTGCAATATAATTTATTATTGAATTGGTGTTTAAGGCATTCTAGAACACTGGAGAATCGGAGCTCGTTACGTTTGTACATATACACTTGTATTTAATTGTAAAAAATACTAAAAAAAAATATATATTTATAAAAATATGAAGGTATAGCAACAGCAACAACATGACAAAAATTAAAAAAAAAAACTTAATTTAATGTAGTTTTATAATAAAATAAAAAAATAAAATTAGAACCAAACAAAGTAAAATAAAATAGCATATAAACAATAAAATAAAAGCATATAAAAAAATAAAAATTTATTTAAATAAAATTAGAGTAAAGTAAAACAAATTAAAATAAAATCAAATAAAATGAAATAAAATAATGTTATAAAATAAATTAAAATAAAATAAAATTAAATAAAATAAAATAAAAAAAATTAATAACGCAAAATAAAATAAAACAAAATAATGTGATAAAATAAATTAAAAAAAAAAATTATATAATATAATACAATAAAAACAAATTAAATTATAAATAATAATATATAAAAAAACAAATAGCGCAACATAAATCGGTAGAATAATAAAAAATAACTACTTGGTTTTAAGTATGCCATTTAATAAATTCCCCTTCAGTAAAAGTTTAAAAAATGTCATATTAGAATATATTAATTTAGATTAATTTAAAAAAGAAATTATTTTTAAAACACATATAATGTTATTAAAGCATATATTTTTTAGTTAAACTAAGCGCACGCATTTAGAAAAATATTTAAAAAATGTGTTTTCTGACATTACTATTTAATTATATTGAATTTTAAATTAAAATTGTTAGCTTATCAAAATTTTTAGTTTTTTCATATCAAATTATATTTTATCATTTTCCATTTCATTTTTCATTGAAATTTTTTGGAAAAAAAATTCATATATTAAAAGAATGTTTAATAATATACCCTTAACAATTTGCGAAAAAAATATAATAAATATATAATAAAAAACTGAAAACAAATATGGATAATTAAAAATAATTTAAAAACTTTTACTTTAATAAATAACTTTTAATGTATATAAAAAATCTTTGGTAGTGTTGAAAATAAAAAACAAATCATATATAATTTAATTTTTGCATTCAATATCAATTTTATAAAAATTTACGTAAATAAAAATTATCGAAAACAAAAAAATTTAAAAAATAAATTTTATTTTTATGTTTGGCATAACAGTTATTTGAACGCACGCTTTTTAACTAAGCTTAAAACTGCTTAAATAAGAAAAATTAAACTTTAAGTAGGCTTCAAATTCATACATGCATTATCCAAAAATTAAGAACAAAATATATAAATAAATTTTTTTGTAAATATTTTGTATAACTGTATGTAAATGAACACAAAGTTTTAAATAGAAATTCAAGCAGTCTTTAAAAAAGCTAAGTAACTGCAAAATTTAAATAAATAATTTTTCATTATTTTATTAAAAATAATTAGGCAGCTTGAAATTTATTTCAAAATCTTTCAAAAATGCGAATTTATTTTATAATTTTCAGCTATTTACACAAAATTGTTTCTTATGTTTAGGTGTGTTTGATTAAACACCTTAAAATTTTAGAAATGATAGTGTGTAGGGCTATTTCATTTGTAGTAATAATCACAAAAATAAAAAAATTCTATTTCGTTGATAAGAGTTTACATAATTAAAAGAAACAAAAAAATTAAAAAATTTGTATATCCGCGATAAGATTTTGTATGCACAAACACAAGCAGAATTTTTCATGGAATATGACTCAAGATTGAAAGGCACATGCTCGAAATTATGCAAACTACGCTAAAGTCTCGTGCTAAGCAAGCAGTTAACGAGAAA